ACCTTTGTGTGACTGGGAGCACCCCTGCGCTGAAGGCAAGTGCCCTCCCGCCCCTGAAATGCTGCATGTTTGCAGCGATGCTAAAGCCACGCGTCCCACCGAGGGATGCGTCTTGCTCTGGCATCTGTGGGTCGGGAGTAAATCTTGCCTCGCTCTGGGTTGCGGTGTCAGCCCCAGCCTGGTCAGCGGTGACTGCAGACCGTGTTTGGCCGAGAGGTGGTTGGCAGCACTCGGAGAGGTGGCTGTGGTTTTGTCCTGGCTATTCCGGGCAGCTGCCTGCGCCCCACAGATACCCGGCACGTCTGCCTGTCCCGGTACCAGCAGCAGAAAGGCTGGGGCTGGGTGTCTCGCCAGAGGACCTTTGTCATCGCGAAGGGCTTTCCCTGTGAGAGCCGGGTGATTCACACCAGAGAGAAGCAGCACCATGTCTCAGAAACAGATGTGGCTTCTTGCACGTAGCAGACAGACAGACAGACAGAAAACTCCTTCCCCCCGAGGCTGCCGATGGAGAGCCTCCCACCGGCATCACACCCAGCTGGAGATGGGAGACGGCCAGACACCAGGAGCAGCAGCTTCAGGCTGCCCCTCGCCTGGGGCATACTGCTCCCTGGCAAGGCCAGGACCTCCAAGGACCTCGGAGTAGAGGGTGCATGGGAGACTTTTGGGGTTTGGTTCTTTTTGGTAGCATCTGAGTGAGAAAATGGAGTCCAAAGGTGATGTCCCTGGAGGTGTCTTTGCATTTGGTGTAGTTCTGTTGCACGGTCGCAGGTGAGACTCGGGTCAGCACTGAAGGGAAAGACAAGCTAGCAATCGTAAAAGAGGATCTGAAAAGGTTTTTCCTTTTTTGCATTGTTTTTCTGGGGCTTGTGCCCTTCTGTATATCTTTTTATGGACGGTGTAGTCTGGAGTGAGGTTTGTTTAAATTAATACAGTCTGTTTAATTTTTATTTTAGAAATACCAAGAACAGTAAATACAGTGTGTCTGCTTTTTGGGGGATACTTGTGACGGCGTTTCAGCGTATCGTTGCCTCCAGTGGAGAAGTTCGGGATGCTGAGACCCGATGCCCAGTGCATAAAGAAAGCCCCTCTGGAGGAAGGCTTTGTTCAAAGGGCAGGTGGCAGAGGAATCCCAAATCTGGTTTGGCCGATGCACGTTAGCACTGCTCTCCCTGTTAGCCTTGACGATGGTGAAATCCCTCACCACTGTGTCCCTTCACTGGTGTCACCTGTTTTCCCGCATCGCCTCTGCGGTTTTCCAAGCTTTCAGAATTTCTAGGGCAAATCACCAAAACCAATAATTCTATGGGGAACGATATTCCCACAGCCCATGTTTGTTTCTAAAATGGAAACACCCCAGAGAGTAATTTTTTCGTCCCGATTTTTTTCCACAGAATTTCATCACCTTTTGCTAACAGAAACCAGTTTCCTTCGGGTTTTTTTTTTTCTGTCAGTCACAGCTGCCCCGGGGGAGCAGGAGCTCCCG